TAGAACAGATATTTATTAAAACACACATGACTAAAACAAGATTAATTATTTTAATATACAAAAAAATTCCTACAAATCAGTAGGAAACAAGAAAACTACCCAATTAAAACTAGGCAGAGCTTGTGACTAGGAGGCTCACAAACAAGAAACATAAATGCATTCACAAAGAAAATTGCTCAATCTCATTCATAATTAATTCATGAAATTTTTTAGTACTCATGGTTGATAAAATGGGAAACAGGCACTCTCATATGCTATGAATCAAGCTGTAAACCATGAAAGCATTTTTGTAGGGCAATGTGGCAATACTTATTAAAATTTATGATTTATACAGTAATTTAAGTTAAAGGGGAATTTATTTTGCTTTCATATAATCTAGTAGCAAAAAGCTCCTTTTTTAACTCTTGGAGGTAGTATTAAAAAAATTATAGCTTCATAAGCCTGTCCATCTAGCAATTGTCCCTCTAAGAATTTATCTTATAGGTATTTGTACAATTATGTAGAAATATTTTCATGATTGCTTATTGCTGAAATACTTGTAATATCAAGAACTGTGAACAACCTAAACATCAGTAAATAAGATTGGTTAAGTCAGTTATAGTGTCTTTATAGTGTAATATTAGCAAATATATGTGCTAATATGGAAAGACCTCCAAAATAAGAAGCAAAAACAGGGTAAATATACAAATAGTATAGTTACATTTGCCTTTATAATCTATGTGTGTGTGTATATATATATACACACCCCACATTTTGTTTATTCATCTTTTGATAGGCTTTTGAATTGTAACCTCTACTTTTTGACTGTTGTGAATAATGCTACTATGAACATTGGTCTACAGGTACCTATTTTAGTTCCTGATTTTAGGTTTTATAACTCGAAGTGTAATTGATGGGTCATACAGTAATTCTATATTTAATTTTTTGAGGAACCTCTGTTTGCCATAGTGCTATATCATTTTATATCATCACCAGCAATGCATAAGGGTTCCAATTTTTCTACATCCTACCTAGCCCTTTATTTTCTGTTTGTTTTTTTTTTCATAGTAACTGTCTTAATGGGGGGACTGCCTGGTGGCTCAGGCAGTAAAGGATCTGTCCACAATGTAGGAGACCCAGGTTTAATCCCTGGGTCAGGAGGGTCCCCTGGAGAAGGGAATGAATGGAGTTGCAAAGACCCCGCTGAGCGACTAACACTTTCACTTTTCATCTCGATGGGTGTGAAGTATATCTAATTGTGGTTCTGATTTGCGTATGGTTAATGAGTAGTGAAATTGAGCATTTTTTGTGCTTATTAGCCACTTGGCTATCATTTTTGGATAAGTGTTTATTCGTTTTTGAAATGGATTTTGTTGTGTTGCGCTGCATATGTTCTTAAACATATTTTGAATATTAGACTTATATCAGATATATGATTTGCTAATACTTTTTCCAATTCTGTGGATTGTCTTTTCACTCTGCTGATAGTATCTTTAATGCATGAAAGTTTTTCACTTTAACGAAATACAGTTTCTTTGTCTTTGTTGCATGTGCTTTTTGGTATCCTTATTAACTTTAGCTATTTTGTTAGGTTACAGTTGTTATTTGTTTCTTGGCAACATTTTTCTAATGAGTTATTTCAAGAAAATTGTGAAAAAAAAAAGAAAGAAAATAGTGATGTTCCTTTATTCTTTTAAAAACACTGTCTGTTTAGTTGCTGACTATGTTCCTTTTTCCTTACTCACATTTCAATGAGATGGATTTTTGTACTTCAGTATCAAGAGGGTCCTGTGGGGTGTAGCGATGAGAGGCCAAGGTATTTTCACGTTTTCAACCCTGAGACTCCCTCCTGTATTGCTACCAAAGGACCGTTTTCTTGAATGTGGCCCTTCTGTTCGCCCATTGCTCTGACTTCTCTCAGAAGCTCGCCTGGTCAGGAGGACTCTACTGCCTTTTCTTCATAAACTTGCTCTCCAAGGTCATGAACTGACTATTAGGCAGTGAATTTTCCTGGTGCTTCCTGATAACTGCCTCTTGGGGTCTCTGTAGATATTTTCTGTATCTTTTTCCTCTATGCAACTGAGCCCTGTTCAGCTCCCAGAGTATGCTCTCTATCTTTAAAGTAATACACATTTGTAGGAGATTTTAAAGAATGTCCACTTCTGGGCTCCTACTGATCCTCCCCAGACTCCTCCTAGAGCTGGTGTGATGTCTGTGATAAGTTTCCTGTCCCATATTTGCCTTTAGCAGCAATAATACACAAATTGGACTTTATAGTTTTTTGTCTTCTGTTGATTTACTTTTCTGCTCAATCTACTTTGTATGTCTCTGAAAATATAGGTGTTTTGTTTCATAGAGTTTTTTTAAAAACAGTATGTATCTTTTAAAAATATTAACCTAAATTAAATTATCAATTAAAAATGATGAATCAAGTATTCCTTTATTGCTTTGATTATATATAAACTTGCTGTGTAGTAGGAGTCTATATTGAGTAAACAGCTTAATTTGCAATCAGTTCAAAGTGTGAGGTTAATTACATGTCTCATCCTTGAAAATATTGAGCCATAACGCCAAGATTGCCTATTTACACTGTTAATAGACGCAACATACTGACTGTACTTTAGTAAAAGATAGAATAAAGAACAGGACTGTTAGCAGAAAGAATGTTAATTTAGGTTTTAAACATATAAACAGGATTTCTAAGAAAACTTTGAATTTCTAATAAAAATTTTATAAATTTTGATACTGATGTGCAAAATGATTTTATCTTTCAAAAGTCATACCTGTGTATTTTAAGAAATTGAGAAACTTGGAGAATAATTAGATCATTAGACTATCTACCAACCACAAGCCTTGACCATGGTGCCTTTTTCAACCACAGTCTTTAGTTGACACAAACGTTTGAGTACAGAAGTGGTTAAGGATCTCTGAATTGTTTTGAGAAGAAACCAGAGTAATTTCCTGGAATAAGGATGATAATGCTGATGATTGTAACAATTGGTACTTACTAAGTGTGCCAGACACTCTTCTCATTCTTACATATATATGAGCTGCTTCCAAGCTCATTTATTCGTATACTCCAGGAACTCCCGGTATCCCCATTTCTTAGATGGGAAAACAGAGTGTAAGTGACTTGTCCAAGTTTGCACGGCTAATGATATTGGAATGGGATTCAAAACAGTCTGGTTGCACAGTCCGTGCTCTAAACCAGTGTACTATGCTGTGTTTGTAAGATAATGGTAAAGTTTGTATGATTTGATCTCATTGTCAGCTGTTTCTGATGCTACATTTAAGACTGCTTTCAAAGTTTCATTATTACAGGTTACTTTTTGGCTGCTTACTCACAAGATAGACCCAGTTGACTGAAATTTTCCATGGGCTCTTTTGAAAGATACTTACAGGTTTTTAAACTCACAGATTTAAAACAGTGGTGGTTATAGATTTGACTTAATAGCTTCCTTGATAACAGAAGCGACAGTTCTTGCCCATACCACTCTGTAGTAGCTAACACTATGCCTTATTTAGAATATTCAGTTCAGTTCAGTACAGTCGCTCAGTTGTGTTCGACTTTTTGCAATCCCATGAATGGCAGCATGCCAGGCTTCCCAATCCTTCACTATCTCCTGGAGTTTGCTCAAACTTGTGTATAACTTTATATATTTGCTGAATTTTACTAGGGAAATTTGGCTTTCAAATATGACCTATTGAAAGAGGCTGAGATGTCCATGAAAGTTGGTGTGATTCTATAGATTGTAAGATTCAAAATCAAATTGAAACTACAGAAATCCTACTAAAAATCACAATTGTAGAATTTTCTTTGTGTAGCTGTCATGTGTCACATGTAGTATTTATCATAGTTTGTTACTATAATTATATGTAAACTACTTCAATGTTAATATAAATTTAAATTAAGGAGAGGGACATGGACTTGGAGTATGATGAAACTCTTATCAGCTCCATGATGTTTGCCAAATTCTTAACTCTTTGATCTTTGTTTCCTCATCTCTATGATGGAGATAGTGTTTCTCTTTTTAGATTGTAAGGTCTACATGAACCTGCACTTACAATATTGACACTTTGGTTAGTTTCATTCATTCTCAAAAGGGTATATTTCCCCTAATCTGCTTCCCCTGTCCTCAAATAAAATTTATTGCTTTTTGCCATCATTTTAGTGTTTAGAGTTACAGATCCATACATTTACATAGGACACATGCTTTATTAAAAAAAAAAAAACAAACCCTCACTAATTATGTTAAGCCATACTAAAAATTATCTTTTACTTCATTGGGGACAATTTTTCTATTAAAAGGAAGAAACAAACCTGTATGAAGTTTTCACTGTGATAACTTGAATGAACTGTAAATTGCATTTTTATTTATAACATGTACAGTTTTGTTGAAATTGCCTAAGTTGTGATTACCTGAAACTTTGGTATTTCAGAGATTATAGCATTCTGAACATCAAAGAGAATTCAGTTGATTTTATGTGCCAATATGTCAGCGAGATCTTCAGATATACTTAAATCAGAGAAATAAGGGTTCCTTCTACATATTTATATATTCTAGTGCTTCAAATTAAAGCTACCTTAAGATGACATCTAGATAAATTTTCATTTTCAGTAACGTCTTACTGTTACAGGATCTGCATGGGATTTCAGTGTTCTGACAAAGGTTTTATTTTTCTGTTAACCAGGTACTTGTGAGTCACACCCCTGGTTACTGTAGAAATCTATCGTAGATACTGCAGTGTATTGCTCCCTCTCTTAGTTACGGTTAGGTTGTGGCTTTAGGTTTCTCATTATCTTTCATTTCTTTTAATCATGATATCCGGGTAGCCATTCCTGACCCTGAGCAGCATGTGAGAGTTGTTAGGGATTTAGGTTTGAGTTGACGTGAAGATAAGTGAAGACCGCTGCTCAACAGCCTCAGTACTTATCCTTTCCCTCAGGTGATTGTGTAGCCACCATGCAGCCTCCTGTGGTAAATATAACTGACTGCTCTTTTTTCTCACGCTATTTTAAGCAAAGTAAAACAGCGGTTCGGCTGAAAGAAGACATGAAAAAGATAGTCGCAGTGCCGCTACACGAGCAGCGGAATCCCGCCTATACCAAGCTGTTTGGAGTCAGTCTCCAGGACCTTCACCGGCAGGGGCTGACCGAGAACGGGGTTCCAGCCATCGTGGGGAGCATCGTGGAGTACTTGACCCTACACGGTGAGTCCAGTCGTGTTGTGTGACTTTGCTGTTTTTACAAAAGAATGTGTCAGTGTGAATTCATCATGCATTATTAGAATATTCCCTAAAACACCTTAATCAGAATAGTGAATTACGGCATAATATACCCTGCCCTTATAAAAGGATGTTAAGAGCACTGTGACTGTTAACATTATTTGGAAAATACTTAATTCAGCTCACCATGGAGAAATCACTTTAGTTATTGAGGTTTCTAGTTTGGAATGATTCCTAGTGTTAAGTACTAAAAGACACTGTTTTAATATTAATGCTGAGTTCTCTTCACTTATTCCCTCTGAGAGTCAATACTTTTTAATGTAACAGAATACTTTGAGTATCTCTTTCAGTTTGAGGTCAGTCATGAACTTACTGAATATGTTGATTACTTTCAAAACTCAGCAGAAATAGCAAAAGAAAGTGTTATGTATAACCTACTGTGGTGTTGGGAGGGGGCATTAACTTTGGGAATGATAAAATTGTGTAAAATGATTGCAGACTGCCATAGAACATTGCATGCAAAGAAAATCATATCCTCTCTTTGTTAGTGATAGCTAGTATGTTTTATAGCTTTTTAAGTTATTTTATTTAAAATAGGACTTAAAAACCTGGATGACTTGAGAGAATGTTATTATTAAGTCGTTCAGTCCTGTCCGAATTTTTGTGACCCCATGGACTGTAGCACACCAGGTTTCCCTTCCTGTTTCCCACAGTTTGCTCAAACTCAAGTCTATTAAGTCAGTGATGCCATCCAACCATCTCATCCTCTGTTGCCCCCTTCTCCTCCTGCCTTCTATCTTTCCCAGCATCAGGGTCTTTTCCAAAGAGTCAGCTGTTTACCGCAGGTGGCCAGAGTACTGGAGCTTCAGCTTCAGCATCAGTCCTTCAGTGAATATTCAGGGTTGATTTCCTTTAGGATTGACTGGTTTGACCTCCTTGCTCTCCAACGGACCCTCAAGAGTTTGAGAGAATGATGCTTATCAAATGAGGACAGGGTGATGGGTGATCCAAACTGTATAATAAATATCAATAAACTTTAAGGGATTTGGAAAGAAGCTGTTCTGAGGGAAGAGCTTGTAATCTTCATTTTCTATGCTAAAACGAACATTTCTATACTAAAACAAGACACTTTGCAGAGTAGATTATAAAACTTGTGGGTATTTTTAAAGGTAAAACTTGAGATTTGGGAGAAATTCTGTACTCTGTGCAGTTTGCTTCCCCTTAGTCTTGGCGTGATTCCAAGTCAGCTCCCCCTGCTGAGGAGGAGGCTGGGGGAAATGTTCCACCTTCCTCTGTAGGAACATGTATGTGCTGTGACAGGGACTGAATGGCAGACAGTTCAGGCCTCAGAAGGCTGTCAGGTGTTTTGTGTTAATTGAAAAACAGCCCTTTGCTCAGGTTATTTGGTATGTAGATGAGAAAATATTATAGCATTTTGCTTTGAAAACTGAAGAGCCGGGGACTCATTGCATTCTTACTCCTAGGTGTTAGTGTTTTGGGAGGAAGATAGCTGCAGGAGGGTGAGATTCTTAGAAAACAGTTCTGGGTTTGTTCAAACACTTTAAGCAGGTTAAACACAAAGGTGTTATATATGGTATGGCAGGAAGATGGGCCCTTGGCCTTCAAAATCTTGAAGCCAGGTGTTACAGAATTAGACCTTTGACAGAACTTAGTTACACACTCACTATTGAGTAAAACTGTAATCTCTGACTTAGATACAAGATGATCACTAAATAATTCATTTAATATCTTAAATAGGGTTGTTTGGTATTACTCATTTGGATGCCAAACTGTGACCACCTAAGATAACATTTTCATTATGGCATCACCAGTATTCTGACCTGTTACCCAACAGTAATTAAATAATAGCCTTTTGAGGTCACTCTTAACGTAAAATTGGGCTTCCCTGGTAGCTCAGACCGTAACGAAGCTGCCTGCAATGGGGGAGACCTGGGTTTGATCCCTGGGTCAGGAAGATCCCCTGGAGGAAGGAATATCATCCCACAACAGTATTCTTGCCTGGAGAATTCTATGAACAGAGAAGCCTGACTGGCTGCAGTCCATGGGGTCACAAAAAGTTGGACACAACTGAGCAATTAACATTTTATTTAAAATCATTTTTATTTTTAATCTCTTAAAACAATATTGAATAACTACTAAATTTATGTGGTTTGAAATTCAGAAAGGTATACAGTGAAAAGTGTCTCCTTCCAAACCCTGTACCCTGACCTTTCATCTCCCCCTCCCGAAAACAATACTACTATACTATTTTTTGCTATGTTCTTGCTAAGATATCTGAATATATAAGCAAATTTGTGTATTTTCTTTTCCCTTTTAACATTAGCATATCATGCACACTGTTTATGAATCTTCTTTTAAAAAAATCACTCAATGGTATATTTTGGAGACTGTTCCATTTTGCATAAAGAGCTTTCCTCATTTAATTCTTTATTCCTCTGCATGCTATTACACTTTATGTGTATATGTGTCACTGTGTTAACTGGTCACATCCTGATCAGCATTGAATTGTTCCAGTCTTTTGATGTTTGCAGACATTGATTCAGTGACCAACCTTTAACATGTATCAGGCACAGTGATATGCCTGTAGACTAACCTTCTGGAAGTGGGCTTATGGATCAAAAGATATGTGCACTAATAATCTTAAGAGTTGAGCTAGTTTACATTGACATGATCAGTGTATGAAAATCTGGGCAAATTTTTAATTAGAGATTGTGTTTCTTCTATTTCTCCCTAGTGTACCCTTCATTGTACTTTAATAGGGTGTATTCAGGTAACACAAAACTAAATGTTTTAGTGGGATCAGTCAGCTATCAAACACATGGCCCCTGCACTGGAAACACAGTCTTAACCGCTGGACCACCAGGAAAGTCCTTCAGTCAGGGTATTCTTAACCCTGGTTAAGAATGAGTGTTCAGGATACACACTCATTGACAGTACCTAGGATCTACTGAATCAAAGTCTTGACGGGCACCTGCCCTGTATTTTGAAAAACTATATAGTTAATTACACTGTAGACAGCCAGAAGCCACTTTCTGTATTTGAAACTATTATGTTAATAAAAGCGTAGGGCCCGTCTAAGTTTGAAGTGTGGTGTGGAGTTTGAGGAGATTCCCTGGTGGCTCAGTAGTAAAGAATTCCGTCTGCCAATGCAGGAGACTTGGGTTCAATCCCCGGGTCAAGAAGATCTTCTGGAGAAGGAAATGGCAACCCACTCCAGTATTCTTGCCTGGGAAATCCCATGGATAGAGGATCCTGGTGGGCTACAGTCCATGGGGTCACAAAAGAATCGGACATGACTTAGTGACCAAACAACAAAAATAAAATGGAGTTTGAGGGTAGGATACTTCAGTTGGTTTTGTGTAACTGTTTTATAGCTTAAATAAACAAATATTTATTATGCAACTGTGAGACAGTAGGCACTCTGTCAGATATGGGATTCAGGATGATTGGTTGTATAATTAACCGTATTTAGATATTGTGGTCGTACTTTGTTGTTTAATGTAAATGAGAATATCTAACAACTTGCTGTGAGGGAAGCCTTTTACTATTATAAAGGAATTTTAGAACAGAAAGTGTTTATCAAGCACTCTATTAAGACCTTTTAAATAGACTTTTCTTTGGCCACCAAATGCAAAGAGGCGACTCACTGGAAAAGACCCTGATGCTGGGAAGGATTGAGGGCAAGAGAAGGGGGCAACAGAGGGTGAGATGGCTGGATGGCATCAGCGACTCAATGGATATGAGTTTGAGCAAACTTCTGGAGATAGTGAAAGACAGGGAAGCCTGGCGTGCTGCAGTCTATGGGGTTGCAGAGTCAGACACAAGTGAGCAACTGAACAACAAAAATAGACTTTGGGTTTTTATAAAAACTAAAAAAAAAAATCCCACAAAATGTACATGTATTTTTCCATTCAAAGGAAAATCTTTTAAGTTATGAGTCATATAATGTTTATACTGATCAGTTATTTTAAAATAACTAATCTTGTTGACTGTGTTACTGATTGCTTCTACTTTAACATGAAGATGCTGTGGGATATTTAAATAGTGTAGGATTCTCTACTTACCACCAGATGTCAGAATACGCATACATATTATTATATGACTACCTGGGCCAGTGTGCTAAGAAAAATTCTGACTTCTGGCATGTTCAGTTTCTGTTGATGCATTCATACGATCATACATGTATTCATTAGATTTTTAAATAAATACTTCAGTGGTAGCTGTCAGTGCTGTATGTGTTATTTTTTGGCATTGCTAATCCATTAAATTGATGTTTCATTATGATTAATCTACATCTCATGAAATCAGATGTGACAAAATCTCAAATGTATGAGAGTAACTCCATAAAGCTTTCTAAACATCTCCTCCCTCTGAACATTTCTGTTGTAATCATTTCCTAAAAATTTATAATAGGAAACATTAGAGACTGTATAGTCTGGTAAGCTTCATATGGGTATTGTATATATATAAGTTCATAAGGGACTTTAAAAAACTGTGGATTTTTTTTTTTTGCCAGAGTGTAAAATAGCCATGTCCTGATTGAAAAGTCACTAAGTATCCTTCAAGTTGTTTGGGTGAGAGAAGTTCCTGAGGGAAGAGAGTTCTGCAAATAAGTGATATCAGGGAAGAAAAAATGGTTGAGAAGCACTGACTTTGATGACTTCTATTTGTAGCTTCTCTTTCCTTTATTAAGGTTCACAGGGATCAGGAACATTTAAGACTAAAGCCAGTTCTTGGAGCTGGCTAGTTATTTTTGAATAACTGAAAGTACATTTATTTGAGGGAAGGGTCAAAAAACCTTGTTGGGAGAGGGAACCTCAGGTCAAAGCTAGAAAATTACTGTGAAATCAGATCCAGGGGCATTTGCTGGGCCAAAAGCAGGCTCTGGAGCTGGGTAGATAGAGGACTATTTTGTCAAATTATGTATCTTCAAATTTGGGCCTTGACCAGGAATGGGATTCTCTTTTATTGAGCAGTACCTGCTTGATGCCAGAATATGTTTCTGAAGTTATGAAGGAAGCTTTGTAGAGGAAATAGACCTTGAAAGCTTTAAAAATGATTAAGTTGAAGTCTCCCAGTAGTAACTGATACACTGCAGTATTAAAGCAAATGGCATATCACCTGAGTTATCTGTTGGTGCAAAACAGATGACCCCAAAAAATAGTAGATTAGGACTATTTATTATCCCACAGTTCCTATGGGTTAGGAATTCGGGCACAGCTTAGCTATGCCTTCTGTTTTAGGGTCTCTTTTAAGGCTGCAGTCATGGTGTTGGCTGAGGCTACCATTCATATCAGGACTTGACTGGGTAAAGGTTCACTTCCAAGGTCATTCACGTGGTTGTTGGCAGGATCCAGTTCCTTGTGGCCTGTTGACCTGAGGGTCTGGGTTACTTGCTGACTGTTGTCTAGAAACTGCCCTCACTTCCTTGCCACGTGGACCTTTTTATAAGGGAGCTCACAAAACAACAGCTGATTCATTATAGTGAGCAAACAAGAACAGTCGGAGAGAACACGAGCAAGCAAAGTAGACATCACAGTGTTATAAGCTAATCTCAGAAGTGAGATTGGAACCTCATCACATTCTCTTGTTTAGAAGCAAGTCACTAGGTCCAGACCACACTCGAGGAGGGGAGGGGGTTCCACATGGCATGGATACCAAGAGGTGAGGGTCAGTCACTAGGGCCAGTTGAGAAGCTGCCTAGCTCACAAACTGCCTGCTGTCTCCTCTATTACATGGTGGCCTAGCCATACCAATTGTGAAATATTTTTAGTATCATATCTGGTTTCACAAATTTTTGTCAAAATTGAGCTAAAATTCACAACCCAATAATATGTGTATACGTAGAAGTACAAAAACATCTTACCAAATGACAAATTCCATAAGGATTCTGGTGGTGTTTGAAGTTTTTTTCTCATAGTTAGTTTTTGTTTTCGTACCTAACATACTGCAGGGTCCTTTGCTGAATTAAAGGATTCATAAATGTCTTATCAAATTACAAAGTAAAATGAAATTAGCTTTCTTTTTCTTTAGAAAGAGAAATACAGTTAGAGGAAAGAGAGAGAAGCCAAGGCTGATAAGAACAAACACCTGCCATCTAAATAATTCAGATAGGCTTCAATGCTTAGGTTCTTAGCTGAAATTCACCGTTGGACTCTGGAAAAGAGAGTGGCGAGTTGAGCCCACGGGTTACTCTCTTCTTAGATTGTTTCTCACACCTTCAACATTCCTCCACCGTCTGACTCACATGCTTTCATGGCACTTTGTCTCCTTGAACCCAGCACACTGAACTGGAAATCATTGTCCTCTACCTCAAACCAGCCGCCACCCTTCCACCACCACCCCACCCACCTCATTCTTTACAGTGCTTTTTCCTGAATTCCTAGTCTTCAAATGTTAAAGTTACTTTTCAATCTTCCCCACTACTCTGTTTTCTTTGTAGGTACCAAGTTCCCAAATCATCTTTATTCTTTCCTTTTCACTCCCTTCCCACCATAGTCTCTGTCTTACTGCCTTTCATAGACTGTAGTCACCCTAAGACAAGCTCTCTGCCCTCTGCATTCTCTACTTGGCTAGCTAGGTCTTCTTTCAAACTTGTTTATGTTGTCTCCCACAGCCAAACACACATTTAATGCTCCATTGATAAATTATGATAAAGTCTTTGCCCTTTGTCTTGACGTGCATTACCCTATACTTAACATTTCTTGCATTTTATTAACCCATGATTGTTTGACTTAAACACTCCATATTTTCACCTGCCTCTCTGTTCTCCTCTCTCAGCTTCTCAATTCATATATTGGTTTCTCTTGGTCAGGGATCAATCAAGTTTTTTGGGGTTGTGATGCTTAACCCTTTTGTGGCCTTCATTAAGAGAAAGAATACAGATTTAAGAGTACAGAAACAGGGATAGAACACTGGAGAGGGCCCCGATTAATGAGAGGCTTCTCCGTGAAGCCTTCTCTGCTGACCCCAACTAACACTGATGATCACAGATCAATAGGCTAAATGCCAAGATCTTTTTTTTTTTTTTTTTTTTATTAGTTGGAGGCTAATTACTTTACATCATTGTAGTGGTTTTTGTCATACACTGAAATGAATTAGCCATGGATTTACATGTATTCCCCATCCCGGTCCCCCCTCGCACCTCCCTCTCCACCCAATCCCTCTGGGTCTTCCCAGTGCACCAGGCCCGAGCACTTGTCTCATGCACCCAACCTGGGCTGGTGATCTGTTTCACCCTAGATAATATACGTGTTTCGATGCTGTTCTCTTGAAACATCCCACCCTCGCCTTCTCCAAGATCTTTTCTTAACTACTTTACAGTCTCTAACTCTAACAGTTTGCATTTATTGATTACTAAAGAAGTAATAGTTCTTTATCAAGTAATTGCAAAGGTAATCACGTACAGTTAAGAAGTTTCTTAGTTACATGTTATTCTTTTTTAAGTAGTAGTTCTCAAAATGATGAATTGTTTTTGGAGCCAAGAGTAAATTTCTGTTGTATATTGTAGAAGATTATATGAATGACATTCCTTTGTAGAGTAGTGTGTGTTCTGTGTGTGTTGTGTCCTGACCTTATTTTTAGACGTCAGTTTTCACAACAATCATCTATGGGGTTTGGGGTTGATATATAGTAAATGGGAAAACTTATTATTCTAAGAAAATGTTTTTATAAAATGTTAAGATCTTCCAGGGCTTGATAATTATTCAGAAAATTTTATACTGAGGTTTATTTGTTACTGTCATTTAGAGTTTGTATCGGTGAGAGACCTCTGTTTATTTTCTTTGTGTCATCTTGGCTGTTTCAGGACTCACCCAGGAAGGCCTTTTCCGGGTGAATGGCAATGTCAAGGTGGTGGAACAGCTTCGATGGAAATTTGAGAGCGGGGTGCCCGTGGAGCTGGGGCGAGACGGGGACGTGTGCGCGGCGGCCAGCCTGTTAAAGCTCTTCCTGAGGGAGCTGCCCGAGAGTGTGATCACCTCCACGCTTCAGCCTCGCTTCCTTCAGCTCTGTCAGGGTCAGTACACCGAATCCTTCTGGAAATTAAAGCAATTTAATTTTTCACCTAACAGATTTTAAACATTTACAATTTCTTCATTACTGTCACCTTGCTATCTTATTCTAGATCCTTACCTTCTACCCTAAAATAATACTAGAGTGATTATGAAATGCTATTATTAAATATAATTCCTAAGACTATTGGCATGTGAATATATAAATAACATTTAAAAGCCCTGATGCTTTTGGGCCAAAGAAATTCTTTTCCGACTAGTTAGTGACTGCCACCGAAGTAGTAAGACTGAGGCATTAAATTCTGTATTCAGTTCAGTTCAGTCACTCAGTCGTGTCTGACTCTTTGCGACCCCATGAACCGCAGCACGCCAGGCCTCCCTGTCCATCACCAACTCCCGGAGTTTACTCAAACTCATGTCCATCGAGTCAGTGATGCCATCCAGCCATCTCATCCTCTGTCATCCCCTTATCCTCCTGTCCCCAATCCCTCCCAGCATCAGGGTCTTTTCCAATGAGTCAGCTCTTTGCATGAGGTGGCCAGAGTATTGGAGTTTCAGCTTCAGCATCAGTCCTTCCAGTGAACACCCAGGACTGATCTCCTTTAGGATGGACTGGTTGGATCTCCTTGCAGTCCAAGGGACTCTCAAGAGTCTTCTCCAACACCACAGTTCAAAAGCATCAATTCTTTGGCACTCAGCTTTCTTCACAGTCCAACCCTCACATCCATCCATGACCACTGGAAAAACCATAGCCTTGACTAGACGGACTTTTGTTGGCAAAGTAATGTCTCTGCTTTTAAATATGCTATCTAGGTTGGTCATAACATTCCTTCCAAGGAGTAAGCATCTTTTAATTTCATGGCTGCAGTCACCATCAGCAGTGATTATGGAGCCCCAAAAAATAAAGTCTGACACTGTTTCCACTGTTTCCCCATCTATCTGCCATGAAGTGATGGGACCAGATGCCATGATCTTAGTTTTCTGAATGTTGAGGTTTAAGCCAACTTTTTCACTCTCCTGTTTGAGTTTTATCAAGAGACTCTCTAGTTCCTCTTCACTTTCTGCCATAAGGGTGGTATCATCTGCATATCTGAGGTTGTTGATATTTCTCCCGGCAATCTTGATTCCAGCTTATGCTTCCTCCAGCCCAGCGTTTCTCATGATGTACTCTGTATATAAGTTAAATAAGCAGGGTGACAATATATGCCTTGACGTACTCCTTTTCCTATTTGGAACCAGTCTGTTGTTCCATGTCCAGTTCTAAGTGTTGCTTCCTGACCTGCAGACAGGTTTCTCAAGAGGCAGGTCAGGTGTAGGGAATATTAATTAAATTGTGTTTGCTTAGTGTCCTTTGAGACTGAAAAGTCACTAGTATGCTTTCTCATAAGCAATATTGAGTCCTAAAATAGTATTTGTTTTGTATAGTTGAAGTTAAAATTAATTGTTTAGAGGTTCTTAAGCATCTGTTTTTCTTTGAGGTAGAGTTCATTTGCAGTATTATATTAGTTTCAGGTGTACAACATAGTAATTCAAAATGTTTATATATTATACTTCATTTAAAGTTATTATAAAATATTGGCTATATTCCCTGTGCTGTCCAATGTATCCTTGTACCTTATTTATTTTATATGTAATAGTTTGTGCCTCTTAATCCCCTATCCCTACCTGTCTTGCCCCTTATCTCTTCCTTCTTCTCATTGGTAGCTGCTGGGATGTCCTCTTTTTCTCCAAGTCTGTTTCTGTTCTGTTATGTGTATTCATTTGTTTTATGTTTTTTGATTTCAAATTTAAGTGATAAGATATTAGTTGTCTTTCTCTATCTGACTTGTTTCACTAAGCATAGTATCATCCAGGTTCATCCACGTTGTTGCAAATGTCAAAATTTCATTTTTTTTTTATGGATGAGATATGTGTGTGTATATACACACACACACACACACACATATGTATATACATATTTATCTATCAAAGGACACTTAGTTGGCTTACATATTTTGGCTACAGTAAATAGTGCCACTGTGAACATTGGGCTACATGTATCTTTTCAAATTAGTGTTTACATTTTTACATATGTATATCTAGAAGTGAAATTACTGGTTCATAATGGTAATTCTGTTTTTAGTTTTTTGAGAAAACTATACTCATTTTCATAGTGGCTGTACCAGTTCTCACCAACATTGTACAAGGCTTCCCTTTTCTCCACATCCTCAGCAACATTTGTTGTTTGTTGTTCTTTTTCATGATAGCCGTTCTAACAAGTACAAGGTGGTAGCATATTGTGGTTTTGATTTGCACTTCTCTAATGATGAATGATGTTGAACATCTTTTCATATTTCTGTTAGCCATATGTATGTCTTCTTTGGCAAAATATGTCTATTCAGGTCTTTTTGCCCATTTTTTAATTGATTTGGCTTTTATTGATAATGAATTGTGTGAGCTATTTATATATTTTGGATGTTAGCCCCTTACTGGTCATATTTTTACAGATATTTTATCCCATTTAATAGGTTGTCTTTTCATTTTTTTCAATGGTTTCCTTCACTATGCTGATGCTTTTAAGTTTAATTAGACCCCATTTGTTTATTTTTGCTTTTGTTTCCTTTGCTTTAGGAGATAGATTCAAAACAATACTGCTGCAGTTTGTGTCTTGCCTGTGTTTTCTCCTAGGAGTTTTATGGTTTTGGTCATAGATTTAGGTCTTTAATCAATTTGAGCTTATTTTTTATATGGTGTGAGAAAATGATCTGATTTTATTCTTCTAGCCATAACTGTCTAGATTTCCCAGCACCAGTTATTGAAGCAACTTTCCTTTCCCATTACATAGTCTTGCATCTTTTGTCATAGATTAATTGCTAAGTGTGTGAGTTTATTTCTGGGCTCTCTGTTCTGTTACATTGATCTAATGTGTCTGTTTTGGTGCTGATACCATACTGTTTTAATGACTGTAGCTTTGTTATAAAGTCTAAAGTCAGGGAGCCTGATTTCTCCAGCTCCATTTTTCTTTTTCAAGATTGCTGTGACTATTTGGGGCCTTTTGTTAAGCCATACAGATTTTAAGACTTTTTTATTCTAGTTCTGTGGAAAATGCCATAATAATTTGATAAGATTGCATTGAATCTAAAGAGGGTCTTGGAGCCTCATGTTCATGACCTCGTGTAACCTTAATTACCCCTGTGAAGGTCCTGCTTCCAAATATTGGAGTTTATGTCACATTGGAGTTTAGGACTTTAACCTGTGACTTTGTAGGGAAAAAATTCAGTCCATAGCACTGCTTTTTAAAAAAAACTTTATCACAACTTGGTGTATGTATTATTAAAAATTAATTAGTAAAATGCCTACAGAAGGTGCTAATTAGATACTGTCTAGAATAGAAATCATTAATTACTACAGAACTGATGTTTTTTTCTTAGAAATCTTTAAAGACTAGCAGAGATAGAAATAAGGAATGAGTTTAAAATAAATGATAAGCTGTCTAAAAATGCTACTGGGTGTTGTTTTTGTTTTTTGTATAATTTTCTATAAATTGTTTGTATTTTAATATTGATTCTCTGTAAGAATTTATTCCTTCTGTTGATAATAGGTGCTAGTTAGTGACTACTCACTGTGTAATACCTAGAAGATACTTTATTTATATAATCTCTTTTGATTCCAGCATCAACTCTAATGAGATACAGAGAAAATAAGATTCATTTTGAAGGAGGAAATTACAGCCTGTGGTTTAGAGCATGGGCCTTTGTGTCCATTCTGACTTGTTTGCCTGCTGCCAGCTGCATTAGTATGGACGGTTACTTAACCTTTCTGTGTCTTAGTATATTAGGTATCTATTGCTACATAACAGTTGTCTGAAAACCACATTAAACATGTATTTTCTATCAGGAAGTTGCTCTCAAGAGTTGTCAAAGGGCTGCGGTTATCTGAAGGCTTGACTGGAGCTGGGAGATCTGCTTCCAGGGTGGTTTGTTCACATGGCTGACAGTGTAGTGCTGGCTCTTGGTGAGATGCCTCAGTTCCTTTTTCTGTGAGCATCTCCTGAGTGTTCTCATAACATGTAGCTGGCTTCCCCCAGGGTGTGAGCACATTAGGAGAGATGGAAGCTATCATTTCAGTGACCTAGCCCCAGAAATCAAATAGCATCATTTGTACCACATTATATTCATTAGGAGCATATTGAAGAGGAGAGGAATTAGGCACCATCTTTTGAAGGAAGAAGTGTCAGACTTTGTGGACACTGTAAAACCACCACACCTAGTTTTACTACTATGGAATACATAGTAGTGTGCACTTTCTGAGCTTGTTGTGGATACTGAGTTTATCCACTGAAGCAGTTAGAACAGTGTTGGTCATGTCCTATATATTTAATAAATGTTAAGTTGTGCATCTCAATTGTGGTAGCCCATAAGAATTGTCTGGGAAGCTTTGAAATATCCCAGAGATTACTACATCGTGGACAAATTAAATCATCATCTCTCGAGATGAGACACAGGCATCCATAGTTTTAATGTAACCGTCCATCCCGATACTTATGTACCAGTTTATCCTCAGCCCTTGCTCCCACCCCTTGGTTTCTTGGTTATATGAAGATGAACCATTAGTGTGATTACCTTCAAGTTTTTAACTTTGAACCTTAAAATTAGTCCCTTTATCCTAATGTCCCTGTTTCCTAAATAAAAAATTATAAAAGTTACAGAAGGGTGAATGCACCTACCTGCCTAATGATTAAGGAGGAGGAAGGAAAGGGGGAAAAGAGAGTTCCAGTTTGGAGTTAAATGAAGATTTCAAAATTCTTGCCCAAATCAATTGAAACTGCTTGAACTTTTGGTTGTTGTTTTGCCTGGTAAATCACACAAAATGGACCAAATCTTCCAGAAATTCATCGGGAATATTTTTGGAGTTGCTATCAATTATCAATTTTTACTTTTTGAAATGTTTTATATAATTTCAATGAAAGTGTGAGCCTGCAAATATTGCATATTACATATAGTACAGGACTCTTCTATATGAAATC